CAAGTCATAAACGTCATCAAGCAGCAGCATCCATTATCATCAACATCATCAACATCATCAACATCATCCATCATCATCCATCATCATCCATCATCCTTCAGCATCCATCATCATCCATCATCCATCATCATCCATCATCCATCATCGTCCATTATCAACATCATCATCCATCATCCATCATCCATCAGCAAGTCGTCAACGTCATCAACGTCTTCCTGCAGCAGCATCCATCATCATCCATCACCATGCAGCACCATCCATCATCACCAATTATCATCGACATCATTATCTACCATCATTCAGTATCACCCGTCTTCATCAATCATCATCTTTTTTTTTTTTTTTTTTTGAAAGCCAGTCCCTCCGCTTGGAGAGGAAGTAAGAGCCCCCCCCCCCCCCCCCTCCCCCCCCCCCCCCTCCCTCCCCCTTGCCGTCTTCACCCGAATAGAACGCCCGGTCATGATATCTGTATTTGGCACAACTTTCGATCCAGATGCAGCGATAATGACGGGGCGTTCTATTCAGGTCAAGACGGTAGCGGGCTTTCTGGTTGCTCCAATCTATGGGAAGGGATTTGCACGGCTCCAAACTTGCGCTGCTTAACAACGCGAACCTGGCCAGCATCTACGTCAGGTTCATGCTATTCAGCAGAACAATTGTACTCCTGTGATGTGATATTGAAGATGGAAAGGACCTGATAAAAGGCCAAAGGACAGCGCACAAACATGAGCAACAACAAAGGAAGAGGAAGAGGGAACAAATTCATGCAAGCCGCCTCAAGGATTTTCGTCCAGTATTTCAATCAAGGAACTAATCAACTAATCAATTAATCAACTAACTAATTTATAAACCCACGTTTAGTACTGTAATTAAGTATAAGTGGGCAACGTGGGAAAGCATCCTGTACGGTATCGACAAACTGAACTGCCCGGTAAACCGTAGGCAGAGAGGGACAGAGAAGAGGACAAGAAACGAGGGGGGGCTGTGACAAACTGTTTCGTCGGAGTTTCACCGACTCATCAGGAGGCTGATATATATATACTTATATTACAAACAGAGCTGCCCGGTAAACCGTAGGCGAGGTGGAAGAGCATCAGGAAAACTGACCTGAGGTTAAATCCTGGCCGAGAATGCTGACGTTGCGTTTTTTTCCGAGTGATAGCCACGTGTCATCCGCATAGATAACGATGGCTGCTGCGGGCGATGGCTCTGCTAGCTCCTCCTCGTCACTACCGCTCCAAAAAGGAGGAGAAGGAGCAGAAATGGAAGACGCGGAAGGAGAAGCAGCGGGATCCCCCTGCCCGTGATCGGTCACGTGAGTGGAAGACGAGGAGGGAGAAGCAGCGGGAGCCATTTCCACTTGATCAGTCCCGTGAGAGGCGGACGAGGAAGGAGAAGCTGCGGGACCCACTTCCCTTTGATCGGTCACGTGAGTGGAAGACGACGAAGGAGAAGCAGCGGGAGCCACTCCCCCTTGATCTGTCACGTTTTCGAGTCCAACGGATGATATCGGACGATTAGCGTCGTCAGAGACGTTCCCCAGCTCTTGTTGCTGCTCCTGCAGCTGTCGCTGGGGGAGCTGCTGAGTAGAAGACATACTACCTCCTCCTCCTCCTCCTCCTCCTCCTCCTCCCTTTCCTCCTCCCTTTCCTCCTCCCTTTCCTCCTCCCTTTCCTCCTCCTCCTCCTCCTCCTGCTGTTGCTGTTGAGTTCCCAAGCTCTTGTTGCTCCGCCTGCAGCTGTCGCTGGGGGAGCTGCTGAGTAGAAGACATACTACCTCCTCCTCCTCCTCCTCCTCCTCCTCCTCC